ACCGTTCTCGAACCTCGCCGGAAAGGAAGAGAGCGAGGTCCCTCCTGCTGGCTTTATTTATACCTCAAGTTACGTAAAGGAATAGCATGGAATACTTCCGTGATCACTTTCCTAGTTCCTTCCTGGTTACAAGCTGGTCTCCAGGAAGGCCTAGAGTGAAACCATCACACCTAGCTACGACATCTCTGTTTTGCTGGTATAAATAATGTACAGTCTTCTCTACCTGAACAGATCAGAATGTATTTTGCTTCCAAAATATCCATCTATTTCCCATACTGTGTTCCGCAGTGGGCAGAAGGGTTGGTATTGAAGAAGCTGTTAGTGTGCAAGGGAAGAGGCAATGTGGAGATACAGACCCGCATGAATTCCACACTGTTGTCCAAGGGAGTTTCCCGTCGGAAAAGCAGTAGAAAGTTCTCATCATCCGGCAAGATCATATTGGCAAGCTGGAAAAAAAGCATTAAAAAAAACCCCACAACAAAACAAACCCACATCAAGAAAGTAATGAAAAGAAAAAACTGAGGTGGCTGCTGACTTAGTATGGGAAATGTAAGTTGGACATGTTTCTCCCTTGGAAATAAACTCCAGACCAAGACGTCTGGCTAATATAGTACTCCATGACTCACCTCCTCCCCACACAGGCTCTATCTTCCCAATCTCCCAAGTCTGCTATAGGTCCTAATCGTAGAATGGTATGGGTTGGAATGGACTTTTAGAGGTCATCTAATCCAATTCCCTCTCTGTGGGCAGGGACATCTTCAACCAGATCAGGTTGCTCAGAGACCTGTCCAACCTGACCTTTGATGTTTCCAGGGATGGGGCATCCACACATTTCTGGTCAACCTGTTGCAGTTGTTTCATCACCCTCATAAAAAAAAAAGTTTTCCTTATATCTAGTCTTAATCTACCCTCTTTCAATTTAAAACCGTTACCTCTCGTCCTATTGCTACAGACCCTATAAAATGTCTGTTCTAATTCTCCATCCTTCTATAAAAGAAATCCTGAGCTGGGGTTGGGCAGAGATACCTCCTGGATTTTCAAGCGTCCATCTGTGGTGACATTGTAGACAGACATGAATTGCTCCTTCATCCTTTGAACTTTTTCTTCTGTGATGGTGTTCTGCCACAGAGAAAACAACACGCACATGAAAATTGCTGAGGGCACTAGAAGAGTCTCCTGGAGGAAATCTCTCCCCACTCACAGATAGCCTCCAGGATCATTTTATCCTTACAGTTGGGGGGTAATGCTTTTAAATGCCCACAAACACACCATTGTGGATGGCTTTTTGGAAATAAGTCCTATGCATAGCTTTGTAGCAACTAAGCATTCAGCTGGAAGATCAGTGTTTGGAGACCCCAAAATATTTCAGTGACACCTGCTTCTTTAGCCAACTGTTCCCATTATAATACTGAGGTTTGGTTTTGCTCAAGCGTGTTTTACAGCAGTTTTCATCCTGCTTGTTTTCAACTCGTGCTTTTCAGGAAGATATCCTTATCTTTGAATGACATCTCTTTAGTTCATTAGATCACCAGCCTTGAAAGGTGTCAGTGGAGCTAGATTGTTGCTTATTATTACCTGTCAAATGGTTTAAGACCTGACATCATCTCTGTCAGTGTTCCTGGGTTAGTAGCATAGAATTTCAAGTAATTGACATTCCCTTTGCATCAGCTCAACCCCATAATCGATTTATACATAGTGGGGAGTTTTCAGGACTTGTCAGGTTTTGACAGACATCACTGTGACAGGTGAAATACAATGCTTAGGTTCATCAGGCACGGTTTCTTTAGCAGCAGCAATGAGGATCCCCTGTCTGACTGGACTACACAAAGTACAATTTCCCCACTATAAAAAAAGCTTCTGGCCATACGAGCTTTGTGACTGGGTTGGGAAGCTCTCCTAATTAATCTCACCCAAGCAATTAATAAAGTCCTATGTTTACCTCTGCACCCACACTGAGTGGGTCCTGGCTTCTCTCCCATCCTGTGGGAGGTAGCCCTGACTGGGAGGGGAGGGAAAGAAGTGAGGAGGATAATCCAGACTGGCTCTTAGCATACTTTTGTAGCAACTTTTACAAGACAATAAATTAACTTCTTCCCAACCCCTGAAAAAAGTCCCTCAAAGATTTTATCATCTCTGCATCCAGCTGGATTTAGGACTACAGCTGTGCCTTCCTGGGTCTTCTAACCCAGTTTCTCATCCTTTCCAGCTGCTATTGAAGCTCCATCAGGTTGTACACTCCCTTTCTTATTGCTGTGACACAAGACCATGAGTCACTTTTTCAAATTTACTCTGTGCATAGCTCCATGCAGTGCAGCCCTTGGTCACATCCTTGGGGTACAACACCAAGGGCTGGCATCTCCTAGTTTGGGGACGAAACACCCAGGAGTGATCCCACAGGGATGTACCCAAGGTGAGAGTCCCACTCCTGGGGCCTGCTGTTGCCCTTGAGTATGTCCTAGGGCATGGCTGCAGGTTCCTCCTTTCCCGTGGTGGTGGTTATAAAGCCCAGGTTGTGCTCACTGCTGGCCCCCCAGCTCAGGTATGGTGGGCACAGCAAATTACTGAACACACACACACGTGGTATTCTTTCTCCTTGGCATTATAACTTGCCGTCGTGCTATTTAAATTGCCTTCTGACAGCACCTGCACTCTTTGAGACACCTCCCAGGAGTTAGGCAAGCCTATCAGTTGCCAACTTCAATAGGCTTGCAAAGTACTCTGAAATTATCCTCCTCTGTGCCCAGTAGGATAACTTATTTCTGAAACAATAATCATAGCTGATACTTGAAAAGTGTGCTGTGGGGTTCAGATTAGTCATTTGTTAAGAAAGCTTATTGCTCAACTTCGTGTCAGCTCTTCACCACCACCTCATTGAGCTTTCTGTGGCAGGAACACTGCTTTCTGTGTAAAAATAGGATAGCCGCTTTTTTTTTTTATAAACTGATTTAAACTATGTGATATATCAAGTAAATGCCTAGAATACTTACAATATTTACACAGGTCTGTGAGCTTTTAGTCCATGGGGTTACACTACAGTAGATTTTTCAATTTGGACAATCACTCTCTGTTCATAAATATTCTACTCATGGAACAGAAGTGGTAATAGATCTACCAAACCCCAGCCTTTACTCACAAAGAATAAAAGATACCGCACAATCTGGCTTTCCCAAGATACATGCTCAAGGCAAAATTATTTGTATATCACAAAGTTTTACACCAAGAATGATACATCTTGGGTTATGACAATTGGGTTTCAAAGGTGACCTTTATGGTGACCAAAAATCCCAACCTCAGAAGATTAAAAATAAATAATAATAAAAAAAATAGATCAAGACATAGCACTTACAGAAACTAAGACTGGGAGACCTGGTCTCCAAGGCTGACCTACTGGTGGTGCAGACCTGTAGCTTGTTCTGGTTGCTTTTCTATTCCAAAAACATTTAAAAGGCTGGAAAAAAACCCCAGTCTACGTGATTTGTTCCCCTTGCCCAACCAAGGACATGAATTGCAGACTTCTGCTCTACTTGCTGACTCTGTAATCTGATTTTGGATGTCTGCAGCCTGTAGAGGAACAGCCTGGGCATGCTGCTGGGCAGAGCTGGGACAGTGGGGCAGATGGCTGGAGTTGCCGGTCCCTCCCTGAAGTCTTAGGGAGTAAGTTGAATTCTCTGGCTCGTTCAGATTTTCTTCAGGTATTGTTTTGGCTTCAAATCAGTGCTGAGGCATTGCTACAGCAAGGAGGAGACATTTGAGAAACTTGTGAGTGGTTCAGCAGGATCTTCATGCTTAGACAAGAGTGTGCTCCAGAAACAAGAGAAAAGTTTTTGGGCCAAGGCACTGTCTATTCAATATTTCAGGATTTATAAAGCCAAGGCAGAATTCTACTAGCCAAACATGTTGTCCCTGATATTATTTTTACAGGTGCAATGTTCCGTGAGCCCTAAGAAGGCTTCAGGAGTAAGCTCCCCAGCTGCGTCTTCAAGCTCTGCTCAGAAGAAAGGATATGGACAGAGACAAATAGCAAGTAAAGCCGGTGGAAAAGTAGAGATGTTATGGGGAATATTAAATTTTTTTAAAGCATTGTAGATATAGCAACTGACTACACTCATAAATGCATTAAACAGATTTTTTTCAATAGTAGTGGTAGTTTGTACAGACAACAGTCAGGTGTCCCTGATAGGGACAAGATAACTATTCACAGATAAGAGATTACAGTTGATGCAGCTGCTGCAGGGCAAATCCCTGAGCAAGGATGCAGCAAATAGCTGTCTGTGGGAGTGGGCACCTCTCATCCTGAATGGAGGCCGAGGCTGAGCTGGGATGGCAGGGCAGTGAGGGGCTGCACAGGGACACCAGCCAGACTTGGGGTACAGGGGCCCCTTCACTGCCTCAGCCACCCTGTAATGAGGTTGCTGAGGGGAGGCCAAATGTAAAAGGAGGCCACTGGTCAGGAGGCTCGATTTCTTATTCTCTGCCTTTGGGGTCCTACAAACATTTCCCTGCCTCCCCTATCAGGGCAAGTCCTTTGACAGAGGAAGAAAAATCAGGAGCAGGAGAGCAAGATGGGGAGACCTCCAGGCAGGCACTTGCAGGGGTGATTCCACTGCACTGGGTGCTATGGCCACCACCCTCCCTGGGAGGTTTGTCCTACCTTCCTTCCCTTTAATTATTATCTCAGTGTTCAACTACAGACTGCAACAAGCAGGAAAGTTTAGAAACCAAACACACTAATGCCTCAGGCTCATTCTCCATTTATTCAAGTGCTGTGAATTATGGTAATTAAAAAAAACAAATATACCACCTTTTTACTCTTTTTTAATTAGTTATATAGTTAATTTTCTTCATAGTAGCTAGTATGTTTTGGATGTGTGCTGGAAATAGTCTCGATAACATAGGGATGTTACTTTGCTATATATTATATTTCAGCCTGTATTAAAATATATATTCCATTTTACTACATAGTATTTATATTTATTATTTTATAATTAAATTATATTTATTCTATATTTTACTTATAGCATATACTATATTATTATATATTATTTTATTTTAAGTACCAGATAGTTATTGCTGAGCAGTGTTTACGGGGCTAAGGCCTTTTCTGCTCCACACCCCACCATACTGGTGAGGAGGCTGGGGATGCACAAGGAATTGGGAGGAGACAAGGCTGGGACACCTGACCCCAACTGACCCAAGAGATATACCATGCCATATGGCATTGTGTTCAGCATATAGATCTGGGGGAAGGAGGAATTTGGAGTGATGGTGTTTGCCTTCCCAAGTCACCATAATGCCTGATGGAATCTTGCTTTACTGGAGCTGGCTGAACATATGCCTGCCCACGGAAAGTGGTGAATGAATTCCTTGTTATGCTTTGCTTGTGACTGTGGGTTTTGCTTTACCTATTAAAATGTCTTTACTCACAAGTTTTCTCACTTTTCTGATTCTCTCTCCCATTCCATCAGGAAATGAGTGGCTGTGTAGTGCTGAGCTGCCAAATGAGGTTAAAACTATGACATAGCAAATAGCAGGATACAAATTCGTGCCTCCTGTGAGCTGGGACAGAGGGAAATGGCTTTGCAGCAAGCAAATGTCCATAGCTGAGCACAGCTTTCTTCATCAGAGGTAGTGCTGTCTTGGTTATGTTGCCAGTCTCAAGCAGCAGATCCTCACCCAGTTTGAAATGTTTGCAAAGCTTTCCTATTTTGTGGGGGTTTAAGTGAATGCTGTTGCATCCTTTCCAGTCACTGTCTGTACTGGGAAGCCTTTCTTGTAAATCCTTGTTTTTCCTGGTGCATGCACCTCCCTGAGCTTCTGGATGCTGTGTGGTTTCCAAGGGCTGGTACATGTTCTCAATGTCCAGTCAGGAAAGAAATCCTTACTTCTTACAATGAGGAGAAGGCCATGCCATTTTTATCCTCGCAAAAGCACACATTTTAAAATATTGCTGTGACTTTGTTTACACACTTCTCAGGGTTAAGGAGTAAATTTCTTACTATGGATGCTGTTCCACAGAGTTTTACAGAGAACAGCTTCTGTGTTTCAAGTTGCCATATCAAATTAATTTTCTTCTCCTTCCTTTCCTTGTTCAGTATTTGTCTTCCCTTTTGCAAAAACCC